ATAGGTAGATGGGCAGGCAGACAGACAGACAGACAGACAGACAGACAGACAGACAGACAGACAGACAGACAGACAGAGACAGACAGAGACAGACAGACAGGCAGGCAGACAGACAGACAGACAGACAGACAGACAGACAGAGAGAGAGAGAGATGTACATATATATATATATATATACATGTATACATATATATATATATATACGCGTGTGTATGTTTTATCCGGGTATAAAAGCATATCCGCCCGCCCGAAAGTGTCGAGCTATTTGGTGCAGGGCTGCTTCGACAGGCAACGGAAAAACTAAGAATTAAAATGATAAGTGGAAGTGGAAGCAGGAGTCAGGATGTACTAGGTATTTTGCCCGGGTCTTCTGTTGGTTTCTTTATGATATTTCGATTATTTCCTGCAGACACCTGTCTTTGTAGGCCGTGAACTGTCGATTCGATGGCTGGCTCTAAACGGCCACATCAGTGTGAAGAGTCAGTTCAGTCCGAAGGGGATGGAGCTTCTGTTGTTGACTTCCATTCCCTGATTGCAGCATTAGCTTATGGTACATGATGCATGGCTTGCTGCCTAAAGATGCATCTTCGGCCACAAACCTGTCCAGGAGTCGCAGCCCAAACCCCAACAAGACAGGGTCCTTCTGTACGCGTCCCGTGGTATTGGAGGCTCGAACTCCTTCTTGGCCGATCTGGCACGCTCCCCACCGGCTCTGGCTATGAAAGAGAAGGCCCAAAAGGCCAGGCTAGGGAAGGTGTCCCGTTTCAGGCAGCGGGCTTCGCAAATCGACTGACAGCTATCGTAGGCTATCGTGCATCTTGCTTTCTGCTCCTCTAAGCTTTTCACTAGAAGTTGCTATCCTGCGGCTCATACGACCGAGAACGAAGAAGCTTGGTTCCAAAGTTATCTCGGACAAATAGCTGGCTAGCAGTGTTTGCGTCATTATGGGCTGTGTATAGGTTCTACGTATCAAAGCCTGGCGGGTTTGCAAGGCGGTGTGGAATTTGCAGCTTAGGCGATCCTGGCCAGCACCCAAGCCAGCATGGATGAGGCCTGCATGGCAATGAATGGGGATTCGGTGGGATTTCAAGCAAGGCGGTTGGATTGCATTAGGCCTGCCTGCCTCCTTCCGTAGTGAGTGACATGCATTCTTCGTCGTTTTGTGTTTTGCAAGCAACATAGACATGAGTTGTTTTTTTTGCGTCGGCATGGATACCAGAGAGTTTGGCAAGATTTTGGGTGCAGGTTGAACCTGCCGGCGCGGCTTTGCACAGCAGACCACTGCATGTTCTTTTGTTGTTGACATGGTCTCAGGTTCGGAGTCACTACTCTGTTCCACCCGCATCCCTCTGAAAAATCCTTTTCAGCACAGCCATGGATTTGTGTAGGTCGCATCAGTTGGCTAAGGGGGGTCTGGTGCGCGATGCAAAGCAAGGAGCCTTGAACTGCCACGTGCCAAAGGCACCGAGAGCTCTTTGTTGCGGAAGAACTGTAGCGCAACCTGCGTAGACAAAACGACCCCCGGGCGAAATCCACAGCGAAGCCGCAGGTACCTAGTTGTGCATTCAATGCCTTCGCAACGTAGAGCCACATATTTGCAACTTCGTAGGTCCTATATGTCATAACCTTTACATGGTTTTTAGGCCCCTGTGTCTGATGTATGGGACTCTGCCAAAAAAAAACGTTGCCCCACAGTGCATCTGCCCGTGAGCGAACGACACTTCGGCCCCAAAGTATACCTTCCCACAATCCTCAGCATGACTGAGAGTGTTGGCAAACCGCAGGCCTGCAATCCAGAGTGCGCCCTGGAGAACCATCACGAGTTCTTTGAGGCGATCATGTGGGCCCTTGCGGACTTCAGGGGTTTCAGGCTGAAGTTTCGGATTTCGGCGTTTCGAGTGCCAGTAGGTCAGTGCGATTGATGGTCACCGTGCGTTCGTGCATAGCCGTCCTCTCAGAGGTGTTGTTGGGGTCGTTGTAACGTTAGCACGGATGCTGTCGTTGCTGCGGCTGCTGCTACCGCTACTGCTACTTCTGCTACTGCTACCAGTACGACGACGACGACGACGACGACGACGACTACTACTACTACTGCTACTACTGCTACTACTGCTACTACTACTACTACTACTACTACTACTACTACTATAATAATAATAATAATACTAATAATAACAATAAAAATACGACCACGACTACGACTACGTACTACTACTCGTAGCCATACGTACTTACAATACTTGTGCTTTGCTTGCCATTAGACTGGCAAGAGCAAGCTCAGAGAACGGTAGCCGCTATTCAACAGTTTTAGCCCAGTCCCCTCTACGAATTTCCCGCAGTGCTCAGGCCTTTGCCGGATGCTATGCTCCTTCTGTGTGCGCAGCATCGGGAGCGGGGGAAGTGAGTTTTCGCCGATGCAGGACAGTAGTGCTTGTTTGCTTCGGATACAGCAGTATTCGGTTTGACTCATTGACTGGGCGTCTAAGAGTTTAGTGGATTTGCTGTCAAGTTCACTCGCTTGGGAGTGAGTGCAAGGCTTAGAGTCTTAGAGTCTTGGGGGTCGAGTGCTTTGGGCTCTCAGGTTGTGGGTGCATGCGTCCTGGAGTCTCAAGCTAGGGCGTTTCAGGTTTTACACTGCGATGTCTTCATCCCACTGGCAAGCATTCAAGGAGCCCCAACATCTTGGCCAGCTTTCAGGGTGGCCATAAATCAGCTGACGGAAAGGTCTTGACTCGTAAGTCCTATGTCAATTGACGCCGTCGCATCCCTTGAGGGAAGTGAGCCAGGAGTCGTTAAAGCGGGCTTCCAGGCATTTCTCTGTTTCAGCTGGGTCTCAACAAGTTTCCTTCGCACATGATCTAGCTGTGGTTTCAAGACTATAATGTTTCTTTTCCACTCAAGTGGATATTCATAGATCCTCCCTTCTGCTTGACAGCCCCGCACGTCATCACGCGCAGCTGGAGTGCGCTCCTACCTTGCGTCTATCTCTTGCTTTGTGCGGTCTGCAAATCTCGCAGTTTCTGCCGAAGCGGAACTGCTTTCCATACCTCATGCCATATCCTGATGCATCAGCAAGGTCTTCATGCTGTGGAAGTCGTAGACCCAAGACCGTTTTGCAGGAGCTCCCTTCAGACGTTCATACTGAACGAGATGAAGTACGAGGCGGAAAGTTAGAAGTCCTGTCAATATCCGGAGTTTCGGGACAAATCCAGGGCAGCTGAATCAGGATACAGAGATAGAATCTATATTTCCTGGGTTGTTCGGTCAGTACCAGCTTCCATTTTCACCCTTCTGGTATGAGCTCAACTGTAAGACCTGTCCCTACATCCAGAACGTGAGGAGCCTTGCCGGCCCTGTGCGAGTGTGAGAGTCGAAATCCAGAACGAGCATCCACATCTTGGGTTTCAGATCATGGATCTTCCTTGCAGTTACACGGACCTTACATTCGGACCCCAGCTGAGGTCATCCCCAAAATTCTGAGGATCCCGGACACTTGGTATCATGAGGGCTGAGGGCTGAGGTTTCTCGAAAGCCTGCAATATCCTGACAAGGGCAATACACTGGGGGGTTTAACAGCTAGTCACACCACACCCCAGAAGCCTTGAACCCGACTGTCCGCATGTTGGCTGCAGCTCAAGCCGGAGCCTCCGGTCCGTTGATCGCCAGATTAATGACACCCATGCCACGAATAAAGTGGTTCGTGGTTCCAACAGCTCCTGCGCGATCTCCTTCAAGTGGACGGAAGGTAATTCCCGGCGCGGCGTCTGGACTGGCTTTATTGCAGCTATAGCATGGAAGAGACAAGTGCTTCTTTCGAATCGTACGGCCAACTGACCTGCAAGACTTTGAGATCGTGCGCAAGTCAGCAGAGGCTCGCGCTGAATGCCGGCATCATGGCTACTTACGCCCGATAGAGCAACCAAGGGTGGGTATGACGCAGCTGCAGACCAACCACTTGTCGCACTTCCCCCTGTCAGCCGAGTTCTTTCCTTAGCTCACATTGATACTCACTCCAGTTTCGCCCCTTGCACACCGTGAGCAAGGTCCTCGAAGAGAAGTACTTTAGGAAGAAACGGCGGCAACCTGGGCGGCGATTCTATCGGCATGATGAAAGCAGCTTGCTTTCAGTGCTACTTCCAGACGGAGTTGGCCAATGCGGTTTCACTTACGGACTCCACGAGAAGCCGAAAGCCAGGAAGTCCAAGATCGAGTCGATAAGAGCCCACCCCGGCGCCGCCACAAACCTCGGACAAAACATGAACATGGGCTGCTGCGTGAACTGCCTCGTGACGTGCCTGAAGCCTTGCATGATCCAGTCACCCGGGCACTGGGTCATGGACCTCCTTACCGGCATGGTGGTTGTAGATGCACAGAGTGGTGCCCTGTGCGGCCCCGAAGAACAACATAAGGGGCCAAGCCGCTGCCCCAAGAAGCGCTATGACACTGATTCCAAAGTGATTGAGATGCTCTGGAGGACCAGTAAGGAAGTCACGGGTAGAAAACTAGACATCGCCGCACTACCAAAGCATGATGCGCGATTCGTTGCTTCTTTTGTGGAGCGATGCCTTCATGCGTGTTCCGGGCCAAAGAAAGCCGCCGCGCGCGAGCTGGACCCTATTCAAATCACATGTGGGAGGTTCCGAAAAGTCGGGGTACCTTAGTTTGGGCTCCTTATAATAAGGATCCTACCATTTAGGGTACTATATTAGGGTCCCCTATTCTCGGAAATCCCCATGTGGGGATTTAAAACTCCCATACAACCCAGGGAAGCAGGCTGGGTTCTGGACCGAGCGGACTGGCGACACGGGATCAAATGCCCGCTTGATGTTGAGTGCAGGAGACATACCTGGGTTGTATGTGCAACCACCCAAAAGTGGATTGCACGCGCCAGGGCTGGCACCAAAAGTAGCGGCTTTTAGCATGTGTAGTGACGTCTTTTGTGTCAAGTCGTGCAGAAAGCAGAGGCAGACAGAAGACATCCCTTTCCTGCGTCACACTCCGATGCTGATAGGATGTGCAGGTGAGATGTGCCTGCTGTGACTTACCCTATGTTGTTCAGACTTTCTGCTGGGATGCTTGGGCCCTTTCATACCCTCAGCTTGAACAGACTGTGACTATAGATTACCAGCCCAGTGCTCATCAGCAGTTTCGGAAGCTATTTGGGTCTTCTCGTACTTCAGAGCTCCGCGAATCTCATGGCCCCAAGACACCCCTTCGAAGTCGTCTTCTATGGGCCTGTGAGACCTTACAACTCCAGCGTAGTTACCGCAGACTCTCCACAAAAGGGCCCGGAGGCCCACTCCGAGTTCGCAGGCTTCGCAGTGGTGCCAGAAGGATGAGAACGGCATCTATTGTCAGCAGCATCACGCTGAGCTGATGATTCAGAACCCGATGCACCCCGACGGAATACCGCCGCGGGAGATTTGGCAACATTCAGGGTAATTGCAGCCGTCAGTGCAAGGCAAGACTGTTTTACCTTTTGTACCGAAGGTTTCTGGGGTAGGCGCATGCTGAGTCGGGTTACAAAGGCAGTGGGGTGAACGAGGTGCTACAGCGAGTATACCACGCCTGTGCTGGACATGGGTGAGATGGTCCGCTTCCGTTGCTCCCACACGGAGTGTGTCCGAGGCGGGAATCGCGACGGATTTCAGCAGGCTTGAGGTCCTCGAGGTGCTTTGCCGCCTTCAGGTTGGAAGCAAGCGGAGGAGCATCCGATTTGCAGCTCCCAGATGACCGAAATCGGCCGATCTCGGGGTAAGGGCATGATGCACATGTTGCATCAGATCTGGGGGTCGAAAATCATCACTCCGTCGGGCGCGTTGTCATACCATGGCGCAATGTCATACTATGATGCCTGCATCCACCCGGCTTCGCAGCACAAGCCCAACTTTATTGTTTGAGCCTGAGACCGACCCCGAACGGGTTGTCACTCTCAGGAGAACGCTGACTTAGTTTAGACATCTCGACATTCGCAGCTTCAGACGCTCGTCGACTGCGAAACTTGACGACGTATTATCTTTCGCTGCTACTACTACTACTACTACTACTACTATGACTATTACGAGTATTACAATTTTTATTACTCTTGTTACTATTACTATTACTTTTTGCTTTTACTTTCTGTTTTACTACTACTACTACTACTACTACTACTACTACTACTACTGCTACTACTGCGACTACTACTATTACTAGTACGACGACGACGACGACGACGACGACGACGACTACTACTACTACTACTACTACTACGACTACTACTACGACTACTACCACTACGACGACGACGACGACTACGACTACTACTACTATCACTTGTATTATTATTCTTATTCCTTTTACCATGTCTATTACTATTCATAGTGTTAATACTACTATTGTTGTTCATATTCATAACAATAAGGGAATTTTCTTCTTCTTATTGTTACTATCAATCTTTATTGTGATTAGTACTATGATCTTATTGCTATCATCATGATTTCGTTCTTATCTTTACGATTATCATATTCATTAATGTTAATCTTCATCATTATTACCATTGCTGTTTTTTTGTTGTGATTAACACCTGTTTGTTATTGTAGTCATTGCTAGCAGTGTTTTTTTTTATTTTTTATTGTTACGGTTAACCATTATCAATTATTACCACTACTGTCATTAATATCTTCTTATTACTATTGCTATTGCTAGTAGTAGTGCTACTGCACTATTACTATTTTCACTACTGCACATACTGCTACTGCTGCTCCTACTATTTCGACGTCGACTGCTATATTACTATTACCAATATTTCTACTAGTATCTTTATTACTACTATTGTTAGTACTGCATTATTATTACTATTACATTTATTGCCTTTATTGCTATTGCTACTACTACTACTACTACTACTACTACTACTGCTACTGCTACTGCTACTACTACTACTACTAGTATAATTTCTACTACTATTATCCTTATCGGTTTTGCTACTATTTTTTACTATTAATACTGTTACTACTACGGTTACATTCCTTTTATTATTGTTTTATTATTATTACTACTACTACTACTACTACTACTACTCTTACTACTACTCTTACTACTACTCTTACCACTACTCTTACCACTACTACTACTACTACTACTACTACTACTACTAGTATAATTTCTACTACTAGTATCCTTATCGTTTTTGCTACTATTTTTATTACTATTAATACTGTTACTACTACGGTTACATTACTTTTAGTATTATTATTATTTGTATTATTACTACTACTACTACTACTACTACTACTACTCCTACTAGTACGACTACTACGAAAAGATTGTGTGATGACGACTGGAGCAGCAGGCCTAGGTTGCACCTGAAGCATTTGAGTTTTGGGCTGCTGTTGAGCAGCCGTGCTCTTGCAGCTGAGCAGCCTTGCGTCATCGAACTGTTACCAGTATGGTCATCCAGAAAGGTTTCTTTTGCGATGAAGCACATGCAATAGTAGCGAAGACCCTGAGCCAGGGCAGCCAAGGACCTGTCATGCAGCAAGGGGGATACCTTACACTTCCACCCGTTTTGGGACAAGTCCGGAGCACGGTCCGATGTCGTTCTCGTCTTTGGCCTTGCAGGGAAACAGTCACACGTGCTTGAGGCTTCCTTCGTGCGGACCTGCCTGCATTTCCAGTTGCTGCTATGTTGGAGTGCGCGCTGCTCATGGTAGAGATCTGGTATGTTCGAGCTTCTTTTCCCCTGAGCCTCATCATTCATGAACCCTCGGCATAGATAGGTGTCAAAGTGACCATAAACGCGACTTGCCCCGAATCGCTTTGTTGACATCAACCTGCAGCATGAGCCTGCAGCAGTTTGTTACTGCGGAGGAGAAAAGCAGGCTCACGTTCGTCCAGAGTAGTGCGCGGAATATCTGTTTTATTCGGGAGAGAGAGAGGTTCCTCTGTACTCTGTACTTTTTTCGACTCCGTACAGACTTAGGTAGGGTTATAGTGCGAGAGAGGGGGGCTTGCAGGTATAGCCCTCCTTCGCGTGCGGCTTTATCCCGTTTTTACCAGCCTTGGCTTAAGCGCAGCAGGGTAGTCATAAGGAGACAGCCGGACATGGCGCTCCTCGGTGGGCTTGGCGGTTGGGTTTTCTATTTCTGTCGGGCTTGGGGTTTTCGTTCACATGGGGGCATGGGCTTCGAACCAAGTCTTTCTGGGGGTTGAGACTGACGGCGCTTTTTGTTTGGTGGATGTGGCTCTGCGAATTTCGTAATCCGAGGTCATCCTCTGTTCCACCTCAAACATCTGGTGGGTATTTCATCCAGAACCCGGATGGCACCACTTCGGGCACCACGTCTCAGATAAACTCATACCGAGCACTGTGCGTCTTTGAGTCACTGCATGATTCGACCTCAGAGCGAGGCTGAAAGGTGTTGATATTCTTGCCATGCATCGCTTGCATGACAGACGCTTCACTCTCCTGCTCCTCCAAGCCATAGAGTCCTACAGCCAGTTCTTGCAACGATTTTGCTGCCAGTATCCGCGAGACCTTTCCCCGGCTCAGAGGATCTTGTGCGTGCTGCTGCTGCTTCTGCCGCGCGCGCAGTTCACGTTGTGTTTTATGCTGCTTTGTTCTGTATGCTGTTCTGTTCTGTGTGAATTGCTTTGCTCGTTTGTGCTGGTGGTTTGCCATTGTCATTCTCGGTGTTATTTTGGTTAATTATTGTGGTTGTCGTTGCGGTTGTCATTGTTGGTGCCGGTGCTGGTGCTGGTGCTGGTGCTGGTGCTGCTGCTGCTGGCTGCTGGCTGCTGGCTGCTGGTGCTGGCGCTCGTGATGGTGGTGCTGCTGTTCCTGGTGCTGGTGCTGCTGCAGATGCCTGTCCTCGTTCCGGTGCTGGTGGCTGTAGCGGCAGTGGTGGCGGTGGCGGTGGCGGATGGTGATGGTGGTGATGGTGCCGGGGCGTCGTAAAGTGGAAATTGATTTCGGTCGTGGGCTTCGTGCTCGAGCGTAGACGATGCTTTACTCAAAGCATCTCCTTGCTTAACTCATCGCGTGAAGCAGACGTGCCACACCATGTGCCAGGGCCAAGATTGGGAAAGCTTCAAAAGCAACACTCGTCAGCAAGCCTTGAGAACCTACCTGAGCTCCAAACTGCTGAAAATTGAAAAGACTTCGCACTGGTAGCGCAGCTAAGCCTCAAAGGCATTATTCTTGTCATTTGTGCTTTTGCGAGCGCCGTGCAGAACCGTTTTGGACCTGAACCTTGCCCTAACGACGCCAGTGTCCGGAACCTGCAATCTGCAAACAATTGGGTTGAAGGCCCATTCTATGGGACTCCACCAGCGGGCATGCTGCCGACGGGTCAGATGTTGCTGGGCAAGACTGCAGATTTACTGAGATGTTGGTGCCTGCTGGGCATGGGATATGGTAAGACCTTGGCAAGCACATTAAACAAGAACACCAACAACCTTAATCATTAAGGTTGTTGGTGTTCTTGTTGATGTCATATTGTCACGGGGCCATTGGTCTCAGGATCCGGTCAGAATATATTCGTGCGCGGTTGTACGTTCTCTGCATAGCCATGCGCTCCATCATTATGGTCTGCTGGTGTCTATTGCTTTATATCGTTCCGCGAATACACGTTCATGTGCTATCATGTATGTAGGAAGTATGTCTGCATGTCTGCATGTATGCATGCACACGTGTGTGCGTGCTTGCACATATTTATACGTGTCTATGTGCGTGCGTATGTATGTGCGTGTGTAGATAGGTAGGTAGGCAGGTAGGCAGGCCGGTAGGTCGGTAGGTCGGTAGGCAGGCAGGCAGGCAGGCAGGCAGGTAGGTAGGTAGGTAGGTAGGCAGGCAGGTAGGAGGTAGGTAGGAAGGCAGGCAGGCAGGCAGGTAGGTAGGTAGGCAGGTAGGTAGATACGGATGTATGCATGTAACACATGTATGCGCGTATGCATGTATGTGTACGTATGTGTGTATGTATGTGTACGTAGGTGTGTATGTATGTGTGTATGTATGTATGTATGTATGTATGTATGTATGTATGTATGTATGTACGTATGTACGTATGTACGTATGCGTGTATGCATGTATGTATGTATGTATGTATGCATTTATTAATGCATGTATGTGTTAATGTATGTATGTACGTCCAAAGATGAAGCGCCAATACAAACCCTAAACCCCATATAAGCCCTAAGCGCCTATAAACCCTAACCCCCGCGAAACCCTAAACCCCATATAAACCCTAAACGCCTATAAACCCTATAAACCCTAAGCCCCATATAAACCCTAAACCCCTATAAACCCTAAAAACCCCCATAAACCCCTATAAACCCTAAAAACCCCCATAAACCCCTATAAACCCTAAACACCCCCATAAACCCCTATAAACCCTAAAAACCCCCATAAACCCCTATAAACCCTAAAAACCCCCATAAACCCCTATAAACCCTAAACACCCCCCTGTCTCAAGCCGTCCCAGGCAGAGCCTCGGAGCTCCGGTTGCCAAGGCCGGCTCGGTCGCCGCGGCCGCGCCTGGCGGGTCGGTCGCAGGAGCCGCCGGCTCTCAGTGATGGCTTTTTGGGATGTGGGGTTTAGGGTTTTTGGGTTTAGGGTGATTGCACAAGTCCAGATGCAAAAAGGGTTTAGGGTGTCTGGTTTAGGATGTCAGGTAAGGGAGTGTCGGGTTTGGGGTCAAAGGTGTCGGGCTTAGGGTTTGGAGGGCCTAGGGGTTTTGGTTGCACAGGGTTGCCTGGAGTTTCAACGAAAATCAAGTTATAACCTTCCCTGCGGAAGACGCCAGGATCAGCTCCCGTTGCCGCCCCATACTACTTTGCACGGTCTGTGCAGGCAGGTTATCAGGAGAAGGGCTCGGCGGAAAACTGATAAATCAGCGATGTCCCAGTGCTGCGGTTTCCG